AGTGCAACCACTGTTGGGTGGAACCACTTGAATCTACCCAGAACATTTTGAGAAATTCAGGAAGTGATTGCAGGGACCTGACTAACACCAGTTTCAGGTCCATGGCCAAATGATCTGTTGATATTAAATTATTGCAGATTTAATGGTGTTTGTGTATGTAAGTTGATAGGTTACAGTAAATTGTGGGACAGAATTGGAAAAGATATTCAGCATAGGTACTGTTACATAGTTGTCCATGAGAGAGCACTAACAAGTTTACTTTTCGACTGCAAAATCACCCAGAACTTATCTTGGTCCATTTTCCCATATTCTTTTGTTTTTTAATATTTTATTTTAGTTTTTCAAAATATACAAAACACACAGTCACACGCTGACAGTACAGTTAAACCAAATTGATATTATGAATTCTTCAAAAATAAATGAACAGACAATAAAATAAATCGGCACATAATGCAAATAAAAATGTAACTAAGAAAAGTAATCACTACACTACAAAAATGTTGAAGAAAAAATTGGGGGTAGCCGAGAGATAGGGTAGTCTTATCCTTAATCGCATGGTCTATTATGATACTGGTGTGGTGAAAACAGAGAGCACATGAAGGCAGTCCTTCAGTCATATTGGGTGGGAGATTCTCTATATAGTTAATAACAGGTTGCCATATTTTATAGACTGAGGTATTAGTTATTATTTATTTTTCTCACATTCTTTTTGACACTTACATCAGAATTATCAGAGACTGTTGATAAACCGAGATGGTCCACTTTATAGCCCTTTTTAGATAGGAATTGTGCAAATTTGCAGGAAAGCCCAATCTGTCTTCTTTCAGCATTGGCAGTATAAAAACATAATCGGGGAGTGCAGCAAAATGCCGCCTACCTACTTTTGTTTATACAGAATGCGCCTTTTTCGGGGCAATGGGGGGCGTGAGCAAGTAACAAATCGTGTAGCTCAGCGTGTGATGTAAACAGTGACGTGGGAGGGAAGCCGCGGCTGGTCAGTCCTTTGGCGATTCTCTCGTAAGTTGGCCCGTTCTTCAAAGTCCCTGTCATCTGACGCTTAATGGCCTCTTCGCTTGCGAGGGCAAGGAGGATGCGCAGTGCCTTGTCTCCCCAGTTGCTCATCTTTACAGTGTCTACAGGTTTGTGTTTCCCTCTTGCTACTAGCTGCTCGCTAATTCCTGCTATCAGCTGTTTCCTGTTCCCATTGCGGAAGGCCGCCTCGGTCTGTTTAAACTAAAAGGGTTCCGCCAATATGACTGCACTACGAGGTGGAAAATTGGGCACCTCGGATCAACTCGCCAATCCGGCTCTGTGTGTCTAAACACTCGCTGCTTCCCGGCAAAACGGACCAACATTCACAGAAAATCTGGCAGTGTAAAAGGGGCTTTAGATTCATTCCCTGTATCTGTGTCACATGGGTTTTGCCACTGCCCCGCCCTTTTAGGAGACTGGCGGCAGTCCTGAGTCTATTTATTCCAATGGGAAAAGTGAGCGTGAGTACTGAATATAACAGTTTCCTTCACCCTATAATCACTGTAGTAAATACTGGACCTATTTTTCACAAGCGCCAACCCTTCTAAACATTCTGACACTAAATTGCATTTTTTCAGACAGACAAATCAGCAGAAAATCAAATTTGTTTGAGACATGTTTCTGTTTTTGTTCTGTTTTTTTTTTTAAATATATATTTTATAGTGTCTTATTGTTGTAATTTTCTAGTCTTGCAAAACTTTATGTTCAGTTGTTTGTGTTATCCTTCAAACTGTGTCTGTGTCATTATAATCTTGCCATGTGAAGCACGACTTAATGGGAATGTAGTTTTTTTTAAAATTGCTGTTGTGCAACTGCGATGTTTGACTTGGAAAGGAGTGATCTTACATTCGACTGATCAGATATTAAGCTAACGTTTAAATTTGGACTGTATATTGTGTCATATTGCTTTGAATCAGACTCCATCCATCCACACAATGTTAACTACACTTCCAAATGAGGTGGAGGCATTTGGGTAAGAGATGACAACTCCAGCGTAGGAGACTGGACGCATACTACCACCAGCACAGCTTATAATGCATTATCTTTTGTTAAGAAGTATCTTTACAGTCATGTAGCCAACTTCCTGAGCAGTGTTTAAAGGAAAAGAGGGGGCGAGTGAGAGGCTAACGATGAGGAATGGCTCTGTTAAAGGAGAAAAACAACCACCTTTGTATCCATCCTTTCCAAGTCAAACATCGCAGTTGCACAACAGCAATTTAAAAAAAAACTACATTCCCATTAAGTCGAGCAAAAACTACACCTCCAACAAAGCCATCTTCTTTTCTCCGACTTTTAATGACTCTTGATATGGGATGGAAACTCACACAAAATCACACTAAAGGAACATTTAGCCCATGATTTATATAGACGCTGAGGTTAAGGAGGTCAGAGCACTGAGTGTGTTGTATAAGCTGTTGTTCAGACTTCAGAGATGGTGTAATGGATGTCTCTATGATGGATCCAACTTTACAAAGCTAACAAACCCCTCAAACTCACTGCTGCTTTCCCGTCACCTGCTGTACTGTGACATAAACTCACAGACGTTCTCATTTTTTTTCTCACATCTGTTGGCCCATCTGACAAATCAAAGCCTCACTGTAATGGCAAAATAGCAGCTAACAATGTGTGATTTTCTCTCAACCTTTTGTCTGATTCACTCTCAACTCCAACACCTACAGAAGACTGAATACACGGATGGTATTTCAGCTCTTTGCTGGAGTTAAATCATCCACTGACTCACCTTTTCTAATGTCCCCTGTCAGCTAAAGAACAAATCTGTTGCCAGAGAAGAAAAAAGTTTGGAGTATCTCGTCATAAAACTTCATAACTTTTATTTTTACTCATATTCCGCACAAAAGCTTGGCATACAGCATTTCAGTGCTGGTTGTTCTGTAACAAATGTTTTAAAATTGCTGGTTTGGTATCATGTTTAAGAACAAATTAGTTTAAATACTGTGACTGAAGACGGGCTGAAAACCCACAAAAAAACACATAAAGGCTGTACGACTGACTAAATACACCAGATAACACACTGAACGACAGGTCAGTAACGAGTAGACCTGTGGTAGTTGGTGACCCAGCAAATCCCGCAAATGATCACTAAACCACTACATGGTACGATGAGGCTCTACTTGAGCTTAATCACTCCTTTTTGGTTTTCCATCAGCAGTAGTTGTGGATAGTACCTGGTATTTTGGAACCATCTCTGTCGAGGTTTCAAGTGACTGGTCAGAGACATCTGTCAATCTAGCGCGACACGGAACATCCTGCTCAAGCCCAATATTTTTTAAATAAAAAGTTACCATCAGTAGCAACCACAATCTTTTTATTAATTTGACCATTCACTTGTGAAATATTGTGACAAAAAAGGGTGGCACATGTACATAGAAATGGGACAATTGCAATTGACAGACATAAGTACTATTCAGACGGTATTAGTTTTACATAGGGATGTGGACTAATGTCAGTTTACCACAGGATGTCTGTAATATAAATATCCGATTCGCACGGGACAAGAAATCTCCGTAATTCTACCAGAGATGGGAGTGGTAACTCGGTCTGAGCCCTGGCGTCACATCCCTGTCGGCATGTGCGTGCTATGTTGCTTCCTGCATGTGTTACATTTATTAGCCCAATATAAAATATTGCCCATGATCAGGATTGTGTATACACAACAATTAGCAATACAGATTTATATTAAGCCTACCGAACACAACCAGAAGTCTCGTGGCTCTGAATAGTGCTTTCTTCTTGACCTTTTTGATTGGTCTCCACGTAGGGCTATGCGATCATAGAAGAATGTCCACTATCACGACTGCTGACAACACCGAATGTTTCTTCAAGCGCCTCCATCATCAAAAAAAACGCAGAAAACTAGTTGTAAACAGGACGTGACGAAATATTTACATACATTTTTACACAGGATCACGTTCACACGGGATTAATATTACCCGAGGTATTGACTGTTTTACAGAAGGTAAAAGTCATTGTAATTTCTACTGACATTATCCGTAATGATTACTGACATGGCGTGTTCAGACGGGACTAAAATCCCTGGTAATAATTACTTTACCCCATGTCTCCACGTTAAACTGATCCCACCAGAATATGGCTATACAGACAAAAACGTAAAGCAGTCATGATGATGTATGTCGTGATAAGAGTCCAGGGCTATAGATCAGATTGTTTCAGGCATGTTTTGATGTTTGTGTGCGAGGCAGCTGTGTTTGTAGACCACTGTGCCGCTCAACTGGATCATCTCACAGCAAGATGGTCCCTAGTTCAAACCAGGGGTGGGGGAGCCCCTCTGTGTGTGGTTTTCTCCAGGTACTCCGGCTTCCTAACATGTAGGTTAGGTTAACTGATGACTCTAATAGGTGTGAATGTGGGAGTGAATTGTTGTCTGTCTCTAAGTGTCACCCCTGTGATAGTCTGGTGACCTGTCCAGGGTGGGCCCCGCCTCTCGCCCAGTGTCAGCTGGGATAGGTCCCAGCACTCTGCGACCACTAACAGGACAAGCAATTATGGAGATTGAATGAACTAGCCATGTTCTGACGAAGTCTGTTCTCACACTGAATAGTGTTTGCCTGTTGTTAAAATGCATCGTGCTGCCCTCAGTTGTTATGTAAAGGAAAAGGTTTGATTCAGATTTAGGAAGGAGGAAACGCATATTGATGGGGAAATAACACTGGTATGTTTGGTGCAGTCAATCACTGGGTACGGTAAAACACAGTGTCGTTAACTGTGATGCTTGCAATGCTCAAGTTTACGTTTATGAGTTGCAAACAGATACATTCAGTTCACTGTTCATCAAAAACACGACCATGTTCAACATCACAACACTGTGAAGGACAACATGGCTGACACCAGAGCAGGTGAGGCTGAGTTTTTAATGTGTTTGGAGGTATTTCCAGTTTACTTATTTTTATCATTTATCAGTTTTTCTCTTCAGAAGAAAACTTGCTCACCTGTGAGTTGAACCTCAGCTGGCAGACGCTGCAGGAGACGTGCTTCCTCTTTGCAGTGGGAGGGAGGCCGAGGGTGTGATGGAGGACGGCTTTCTGCACGGGGTCCATCTGGAGGATGGAGGGAGACACGGAAAGAGGCTAATTAAAACAGTTGCTAACGCTGACCTGTAAATCACCTTCACTCCTCCATCGCTCACTGGGCTGTAAAGAGAAAACAGGCTGCCTGAAGCTCTTTAGAAAGCCGACCATTCATCTTGCACTTCAACAGGTGCTTTCTGGCTCAGACATTAATACCCCATTTGGAAACTGGAGGCACACAGCATCAGTGTTTGACTGTGGAGACCTTACTGTAATGGTCGTAAGCAAAATCCCTCAAGTGAGCACTTTAAGGACACCACTGGTGTTATTGCATCTCTTTATTATCATCAACAATTCCCCAGAAGCGACTAAAACCAACAATGAATTTAACCCACTAACAAGTATTGTCTCTGTAGCCACAGTCTGCTTATGCCTTTGTACCACAGTATTTCATTGCCGTCCAGAAATAAGAAAAGCACACATAAAAGAGCTTCTCTTGTATTTGGTGAAATATTCCTTCACTGTGATCAGTGTGGCTTGATGAGTGTATTGCTCATGGCTCATTTAACTATCAAAGCAGGGTAAAAAGAGAACCACAAGCACGAGGCTGACGTCTTCCTCATTACATTTATTCATTTGGTGCACACTTTTATCCAAAGTAACGTACAAATGAGGTACAATCCAAGCCACAGTACATTAAAGACAACCCTTTGAGAATAAAGCCTCAACATTCAGTGCTACGCTCCAGCTGACACAAATGCCACAAGGTTTGCAGGTCCATAAAAGAGCATACAAGTGCCTGAAAAGGATCTTTTTTGAGGAGGAGTGTGAGAAACAAGCTGTAGTTGCAGAGTTGCATCAGAAAAAATGAATTCCTTGTGTTTGGATTGCAGTAAAGACATATTGTATATCACCTAATGCTGCTTTGGGAAAATAGCAGAGTTCTGTGGAAGCACAAGCAAACATCATGCTGTGGCCTCGTAGATAGTACCTGTTGGCAAGATGAATTCATTGGTGCAAGAACAACTTGTACAAGCATTTGTTTTTTAAGAGGATACTTTGCCGATGTGGCAAACTTCCCTCCATCTATCCAGTGCCTAGATATCCCTCCTCGCCCACGGCGAAACTCTGCCATCTGACGTAGTTTGAGTCATCTGCTGGAGTTTCGCTGACTCTCAGGCTGTTGCTCGAACAGCAGGAGACATTTTCATGTTGCCTGCTATGCATGCCATCGGACACTTAGTAAACAATAGACACGTATTTCAGTGTCGTGCTTAGCTGTAATAGTGAGAGTTTGTGAACAGGAAGTGGGCTTGGATTTCTCAAGGAAAGACAGTGATTTCAAATGCAATAATAATTGATGTAACACTATCACTTATCCTATATGGTCAGTTTTTGTAGTATACTGCACACCAGTGGTTCCCAACTGGTCCAGCTCTCTCCTTAGTCATTAATTCAAGGTCCACACAGTTTGATATGTTCAGCGTCATACAGCTAGTTTGCTGTCTCTGTCAAGTAGCTGTCCGTTGGGCACTCACTCTACAGCAGGAAACAGCACTTCAAAATAAAAACTCTTGCGGTCCATTCAGAATAAACACGCAACCCACTTTTGGACTGCGACCCACCAGTTGGGAGCCACTTACACAACAGCTACATGTACTTTCTGACACGTACAATGTCAACAGCATAATGTCTGCTAATGCACTTAGAAATGACAAGTGATACAAAACCATGACAACGAAGTATGTTTTTCCCTCTTTGTCGACTACCTACCATCACAAGCAAGTTCAGCTATTCTTTCTCAGATGTTCTTCTTACAGTCATTACCTTTCAAATCTTCATTTGTCAAAGAGGACATTGTATTGTCAGATCAATGTCCTTATTGTTATGTGACAGTTTGAGGAGAATTATGACAATGACATCCGAGAAAACAACCCTGTCTCGCTTCAGTGTCGTCGAAATCTGGCGCTTGGGCAGTGACTTGCGGCGTCAGACACTGACAAAAATGTCAGCATGATATGTGGTCAGTCGCCGTTATAGTTTAATGCTTCTTGGCGGCATCAAGGGGAATATTAAGGCTAACCCTGACTATGTGCTTTTGGTGCCTAAACCTAACCATGTCAATTCGCAGTGTTGTGCTGACGTAGTGTGTTTATTTTCTCAGAGACTGTATGTTAGCCGTACATTTCCTGTGAAAAGAAAGTGTAGTTTGAAAGTAACAGGCAGACCTTGACACTGTGTCCCAAAATGTCAACAACCAACGCACCCAGGGTACCTTGCACATTGTATCTGGACATGGAAAGTCCATGACCAAATGTCGATATGTGATGAGGTCAGGGTGAGAATGCATTGAAGAAAATACTGATTGTGTGAGCAAATTAAAGTCATTATTATATTGGTTGGCTTGTTTTTATTTGGCATCTGGAAATCGCAAAAAGCTGTGGAAGAAAAAAAAAAGCTTCCACTGTAATGAACAAAATTTTCAGATTCGGTGTGGATACAAAGAGAGATACAGATTTTTAAATTGACGTGTGATTTATTGGCATGCATTACTCACATTTCATCTGAAAAGATCTTTAATCTGAGTAAATTTGGAGATTAAATATGTTACAGAAACAAACTGACCAAAGCAAAGCATGGAGTTTATGCAAAACAAATATTCTCTTCATGATATTGTCATCCTCACAGCTATCAAATCACTGAGAGGTATGATAATATTCATTTTTTTTCACTTGGTATGATTTTATTGGTATATTTGACAATTTATTTACTACGAACAGTGATCACAGTGTAACATCATCTTTTGTAATGTGTAATATTCTCTTGTCCATCTCCTGACTGCCATGTCTCTGTCTCCCATTTAAGCCATGGACCGCTTTACTTTTCCAGCACTCCTTTTTATTTCTGTCAAAATACAGCACTGCGCTCATGACAAATTGTTTTCCACTGTATTAATAATGTGTTTGCGGTCTCCTGATACAACCACTGACACTGCAAAATTTGTTATGCTTTTGTCTGATGATTTCTGACAGCAGGACAGGAAACTCTACAGCGTGAAATTCTTCTTTTTCTGTCTTGGGTAACATTTATTCTAATGAAACTTGCCCATGAATGAGAACCAAGCAATTTACTCTTGTGCAGTAAAGAGAGTTTGTTGAATGTGAACACACATACAAGCAAAAAATGAAGCACATTGTTTGGGAAATAATGAACCATTGCCTAATTATTGTAAATTTACCTGAGATGATTCACATAAGCAGAAAAACCTCAGAGAAACCTCAGCCACACAACCAGCACATACATTTATATCTTCAGGACTAACTGGGAGTGGGAATGCTACTGCATGGCTGCACGCTGCTTGTCTGGTTGGTATCTGCCTCCCTCTGTGTGGTGACAGGGCTTTGGGGAATGAACAAACACATCTGCCTCGCAGAGGAAGTGTCTCAATAGGCACCACTTGGCTGCAGAAGGCAGAAAGGTGCCTACAGTGTGTGGGAGGATTAATCCACCTTGACAATTGTGCTGCAGAAGGTAGGCACAATGATGTTATACTGTCGCTTTCTGTGGACGCTCTTTGGCTGAACTGAGGCTGTTTTCATTATTTGGGATTTCAAGTGTATTTGTGTGGAGAGGTAAAAAAAAAAGTTTCCTGAGATATTCAACTCTGGAACAGAAGTGGAAAACTACTGGTACTGACTAAATAGAACTATACAGTAATTAGCTTATACATGAATGTCTTTTCATTTTCTCTATTTATTAATGTGATACATCAGTCTTGTTGACCGAAATGACGATCATGAATCCTGATTATTTAACGTTTTAAACATCATTATCGTTTGTTGTTGATTTTAATTTGATTTTTAATTATTCATCTATCTTTTTAATATTTGAATTGACAGAAATTTGCCTCACCTTCACGTTCTACCTAATAAACCTGTAATAGTCGTAAAAACGCTGCTCGACCAGAAAGGTTATTAGTCTGCAAGGTTTCATTGGTCGCTTTGTCGCAAAAAAACACAAAACAAAACATAACAAACCAACAAAAAAAACAAGCAAACATGAAACCCTATCAAGAGCTGCACCTCATCAAAATATATCAAAACCTATATGACTGGACCATGTGAATTTAATTTGAAAGGACAGACACAGGAAGAGGCCACGCTCTGCAGTCAGACAGGTGTCACGTTACAAACCAATCACAGCCGACAGATATCTTTCCCTTCTTCTGTAAATATTCAGTCTGATAAATACAGAGAAGCTGATCATGTTAGTGCAGGGCTACCCAGAGCTTTACATCTGTCCCACAGACGATAGGCCGACACACTGATAAACAGCTCCTGGAAGAAGATCAGCTCTGCACTCAGGATTTCAGTTATGGTTGCTTAGGAACCTCAGACGCAACCTGCCGCTGCGCTCTTGAAAGCTGGCACAGAAAAGGCACAAGAGTAGCACCTACAGCCTGACCATCTCCCAGGTGGTTAAAGACGCGGCATGTGTACAGCTCCTAATTTCCAGGGCTGGTACCTGCGGTTATTCCACAGGCTAGTTAATAACATGTCGGGCAGGAAATCCAAAGTGTGGGATCATTTTGAGAAGGTGAAGGACGAACCCAAGGTGATATGTAAACTCATCTTCATTGGTCGACTACAAACATGACGTATCATCTGAAACATGGAAGTAGCTACATGCCCATTAGCCCACAGCGTCATTAACAGGCGGCTCGCTCAGTGTGTGACGTGCACTTGTAGATAAAATATAGGCCTATATTAATGAAGGTTCATTAGTAAGGTTTTGTATTTCTCTGTAATGTAGCACAGTGTTAACAATGTTACTGATACTATTCTTTCTCACACCTTCGACTCAAACCACCAAAATATATCATTTAATCATTACATTAGTATGATAAACATGCGGGCAACTAGTCGACTAATGGCCCTAAATGACAACTATTGGTCCCTTTGGAAAATTCTTAGTTTGGGGCCCAAAAACTTGCTTTGAATGGACTTTCTTCCCATCAAATAATCACAGTT